GAGTGCCTCGGGGGACACCTGGGCACACCTGGGCACACCTGGGACACACCTTCCCCTCACCTGGGCATGCCTGGGCACATCTGGGAACACCTGGGCCTGCCTGCCCCTCACCTGGGCACACCTGGGGATACCTGGGGACACCTGGGCACACCTGCCCCTCACCTGGGCACGCGTAGGGACACCTGGGGACACCTTCCCCTCACCTGGGCACACCTGGGCACACCTGCCCCTCACCTTCCCCTCACCTGGGAACACCTGGGCCTGCCTGCCCCTCTCCTGGGGACACCTGGAACACATCTTCCCGTCTCCTGGGTACACCTGGGCACACCTGGAAACACCTGCCCTTCACCTGCTGCATCCCCCACCTCACCCCGCTGTGTCTCACCTTGCTCCCAGGTTCTGGAAGGTGGCCGGGGGTCTCCTGATCCTGCTCATCTGCTGCATCAACATGTACTTCGTGGTGGCCTACGTGATGTCCCTGCACAACCTGGGGCTCTACATCGGGGCCGCCGTGCTCAGCGTCATCTACCTGTCCTTCGTGGCGTACCTGGTGAGTCAGGCTCCAGCTGAGCCCCCTTCCAGCTGGGAGAAGACTTTGGAACAGCAGCTCCTCTGCACCTGTCTGTGTCTGTGGAAATCATGGAATGACCCTGGAACCGCGGGATGGGATGGGCTGGGCTGGGAGGGGTTTTAAAGGCAGTTTCATCCAACCCCTCTGCCACGGGCAGGGACAGCCCCCACCTGGCCAGGTGCATCCAGCCTGGCCTTGAACACTTCCAGGGATGGGGAATCGTCTGGGAATCCATGCCAGTGCCTCCTCACAGGGAGGAATTCCTCCCAAAAATCCTCTCTGGACTGGCTCCAGCAGCTCCACGTCCTGCCTGTGGTGCCTGGAGCTGGAGCAGCTCTGCAGGTGGGGTCTCACCTGAGCGGGGCAGAGGAGCAGGAGCCCCCCCTCACCTGCTGCCCCCACTGGGGACTCAGCCCAGGCTGTCCCTGATGCCATCCCTTGGGGCTGTCCCCAATGCTGTCCCTTGGGGCTGTCCCTGATGCCATCCCCTGGGGCTGTCCCCAATGCCGTCCCTTGGGGCTGTCCCCGATGCCGTCCCTTGGGGCTGTCCCCGATGCCATCCCCTGGGGCTGTCCCCGATGCCGTCCCTTGGGGCTGTCCCCAATGCTGTCCCTTGGGGCTGTCCCCTCCCCTCTCAGCTCTGGGTCCCCAGGGGGGCTGCTCCCAGGCACTGGTCCCAGTCCAGGCACCAGGGGACCCCAGTTGTCACCTGGGTACGGAGCCATTGGCCACAAGGCCTTGAGTGGCAGGTTCTGACCGAGCCCTGATCCATGAGTGACCCCCAGGGGATCCCCCGTGGGACTCAGTGGGGTTTACCCCAGCCAGGCTCAGGTTTGGGGTCCCCAGTGCGGAGCATTGAGGGGCTGGGAAGGGGCTGGAGCCCCCGGAGGGGCTGAGGGAGCTGGGGGGGCTCAGCCTGGGGAAAAGGAGGCTCAGGGGGCCCTTCTGGCCCCCCACACCTGACAGGAGGGGTCGGCCAGGTGGGGTCAGGCTGTGCTCCCAGGGGACAGGACCAGGGGAAACGGCCTCCAAGGGAAGTTGAGGTTGGATACTGGGGACAGTTCCTGGAAAGGGCTGTCAGACCCTGACACAGCTGCCCAAGGCGGGGTGGGGTCCCCATTCCCTGAGAGTGGATGTGGCACTTGGGGACACGGCCAGTGCTGGACCCAGCGATCCCAGAGGTTTTCTGCCCCATTCCATAACTCCGTGGCACCCCTGTCCCAGCCTGACCGTCCCCTCCTGTCCCCGCAGACGTGGCTGTGCCTCATTGCCCTGGGCGCCTCCTTCCTGGCCTGCGGGAGCACGGTAAGCGTCACCCGGACCCTGCACCTGGAGCCGCCGCCCTCCCACCCCCCCAAATAACCGGGGGGGGCTGCACCCCAACAGCCGCCACCGGAGCCCCGGGGGCCAGCACCGCTCTGGGAGAACAGCCCGGAACCCTCGGGGCAGGAGTTCCTTTGCTGAACCCCAAATCATCCCTGGATGGGAGACACCACTGGGGGGGACACAGGAGCAGCCTGACCCCTCCCCGTTTTCCTTTCAATCCCTGCAAATTCCTCATCCCAAAGCGTTTGACCCCCCCATGGTACAAACACTGACCTCCAGGAGCGCTGCTCACCTGGACAAAATAGGCAAATAAGCTAAAAATTCCCTAAATCCCCTCCTGGGTGATGTTTGGGGATGCTGCTGTGGCTGGACGTGGTGTGACACTACAGCTGGATCTACCTCTGCTGCCGGAGCAGCTTTGGTACTTTTATCACTGGAAAACATTCCCTGTTCCCATCAGAACGGGAAACTCCGGCATTAATATTGTCACTACTGGTTTTTAATGGCCCAGTGTGGGATTTTGGGGTCAGCAAATGAAACGAGTTCGTGGTTATTTATGATTTTATGACTTTGTTCCCTGTGATCCATGGAAATGCTCTTGGAGTTCTCAAAAATCCCTGGATTGTAACCCAAAATCAGGCTGTGAAGGCTCCAAGAGCCTTTTCCAGGGGTTTCTTTGCTGCTCTTGCTTGTTCTGGATTTAACCCTCTCCTATCAATGTCCCTTTTGTTTTATGAATTTTGGAAGAAGCTTGGCCAGGAATGTGACCTGAAGGGATGGGATGGAGGGAACTGGGTGTCCTTTGGATCTCCCAGGGGTGTTTTGGGGCCCCTCATTGCCTGTTGGGGTGGGTTTGAATCTCTGGATCATGGAAATTGAGTATTGAAAGCTCAGATTTGGGTTATTTAGGGAAATTCCCTTCTCTGTCCAGCTGGAGCTGTAGCAGAGGCACAGCTCCGTGGCTTTAGATCCCAAAATCCTTCATGGATCTGCAAGGTGGAGCATGGGGGGCCCCAAACCTCTCCTGGGGCCCGAGCCAGGGTGTTCCAGCCCAATCCTGGTTTATTTGGGATACCTGCTCAGGGCCAGGGCTCCATCCCTCACTGTCCATTGGCATTTCCCTGCACTCCCAGTCCCAGGCAGGGAATTCTCTCTGAAATAAAATCCCTGCAGAATCCAACTCTTGGGAATGCAGCCCTGAATGGTTTGGGATCTGCTCACGGGGATTTGGGATCTGCTCACGGGGATTTGGGATCTGCTCACGGGGATTCCTTCCCTTCCATGAGCAAACCCAGTATCCTGTCCCAGGACTGGAGCAGGTCAGGGCAGCCCCTGCTGCTCTGAGCTCCTGTGGAGTTTTATCCATCACCACTCGATGTCTGGGGTTATCCCCTGGTGCCCAGGACACGTTCCAGGGATGAAGGTGAAAACAGAGCCCAGCAGGAAAACTCCCCTGTGATTAGAGGCAGGATCAGATCCCTCTTCCCACCCTTTCCCAAACCAGCTGAGACTTGCAGCTCCTCCTGACCACAATGGATTTCCAGCTTTCCCGTTATTATCCCAGAATTCCAGCAGGATTTAACCCTGTAACATTTGTAGGTTTTACACCCATTCCCACAACACAACAGCCACGAGCTGTGGGATGTGTGGGGTGGGGGGGGATGAAGGGCTGGACCAGAGGTGGACTCAGGCTTTGGAATCCTGCTGTACCACCCCCAGCTTTCCTGGGCTGGGAATTCTGGCTTGGGAGGGGTCAGCTCTCCTGGCTGAAACACTGACTGTGCGTGGAGCCTCCAGCTTTGGGTCCCCATCTGCGGCCTCCGCTCCGTGCTGCACTAACGTGGGGGATTTTCCCTTTGGTCCTGGTTGTACAAACCCCCTTTGCCATTAAAACATGGAAACTTTTCCAACTTGGCTTCCTGGGTCATTTTTTGGGGCTGTTGCTGGCTGTGACAGAGCCCCTGACACTCTGGAGCTGGAGCTGCGCCCGTGGGCTCCTTGCTGGAAATGACACTGGAAATCATTTTAGCCCAGAGTTCATATAAAATAAAAGGTGATCTTTATTTGAAAGCCTTTGGGGGCAGTTTTGGGAAGAACTCCACAAAATCCCATCCCCACAGGGCTGAGGACATTGTGGGTTTGGGGAAATTAGCATAATTGATAGAAGCACCAATTAGGAGGATGAGTGGTGATGCAATTTCCCTCCCAGGTCCCCCCCTCGGCCCTGGCTGTGCCCTGTCCATGAAATGCATCTCCAAGAGTTGTTCCCAGGGCTTGGAGCTCTGGAATTTTGTCTTTCTGCCTAGGGAAAGGCCATGGAAAAACACTGGGGAAAGTATTTATTAATCCAATAGGCTCCAGAGCTCCAAATGTACGTGCAGAGAATACAGAGAACATAAAAAGGCAAAACTCAGAGCGGCATCAGGGTGAGCTGGGGCGCGTCCCTGTCCCCTGGGATTCACTCCCAGGCTCCTGCTGTGCCCGTGCCACCACCGGGAGAGCCGGGGCTCGCTCACCCTGCAGCTCCTTCCCCTTGGAATTCCTGCAGTGGGATCAGCCCATCCCTCCTGTCCTGCTTCATCCCCCAGCTGTGCCAAAAAAAACGAAATTAGGATTATTTCCCTGCTTTTGCCCCTCCGGAGCCTCAGCTCTGGCCCAGGCTTAGTTTAACACTGCAGGATTTGCAGTGTCGTCTTGTAATTAAGCAGCCTGTGCAGTCATTGCTAATTAAGGCTCTTCATGGCCCGAATTTAATTGAGCTGGAGCAGTTAATTGGGGCTGCAGGGGGAGGAGCCTCTCGGAGCCCTGGGTGGGGCTGGGCTGGGACCCGCTCCCGGTTAACCCCATTCCTTCTGGCACTGCTAATTAATGGCCACTGCTAATTAATGGGCAGGCGGTGACTCTGGGGCCGTGGCCGGAGCTGCCACCTCGGCACCCACCCGGGCTTTGTTAAGCTGGGCTCGACTGAGGCTTTCTTAACCCGGGATCAGCTCTGGTTTCATTAAAATCCTGCCCTGCTCAACACCGGCTTCATTAAACCAGGCTTAATTCAGGCTTTGTTAAACAGTCCTCAATTTGAGCTTCATTAAACCCGTCTCAACTTGCTCTTTGTTAAACCAGACTCAGTTTGGGCTTCATTAAATCGCGGCTTTGTTAAAGCAGCTTCCATTTCATCTTTGTTACCTGAGCTTCATTTGGGCTTCCTTAAACCTTCCTTAAACCAGCTTGGGCTTAGTTAAACTCTCTTTGGCTCAGGCTTCCTTAAACCAATTTGGGCTTACTTAAACTCTCTTTGACTCAGGCTTCCTTAAACCTTCCTTAAACCAACTTGGGCTTGCTTAAACTCTCTTTGGCTCAGGCTTCGTTAAGCCAGGCTCAGCTGGGGCTCATTAAATCCCCCGGGCATTAATTGTTGCCTTCCCCTCCCCAGGGCCGCCTGGGCTTCGCTGCCCACCCCGAGCTCTTCCTCCTCGGCCACGTCGATTCCGACCCGTCCGTCCCCAGGTGACCCCAGGAGCGGAGCGGACCCCCAGGACCCCCCCCAG